GCTGTATATGAGAACACAAATGTCTGAGTCAGTCAACATGGACTTTAAGTGGACTTTGCTCTGCCACCTCCCTAGTACAAAGTCTGCATAATGTCTGAGTGAGCCCATGTGAGAATACAGCAGCGTATCCTGCTACGTGACCACGTCATGTCCTGTCTCTTGCGAGCACTACCCAGGCACGCTCCCCCCAAGCATAAACAATTTCAGTAGGTGAGAACACGTCTGACATTGATGACCTCTTGTTGTGTGCTACATGTGTGACAGGGCAACTCTGGAAGATGCCTGGGCCTGATTCTGTGGACACTGTCCTGTGTCGGCGTGTGAAAATGGCTTATATAGTAAAATATGGTATGGAAACTAGTGAAAATGTTGGCAGTTACCATTCAGTAGATATATGAACTAAGCAGTTCTGTGTCCTTTGTTTTTAAACTGGCAGCAGATGAAGGTCTCAGGACATGTGACTCTTGTCCCTGTTTAAAATTAATAGTTTCTAGTTGTTAATCAGAGATTAGAAAGACTGTGTGTAGGTACTTGTAACACCACGCACAGACACGCACATATCTGTGTCACAGCACACACAAACACTCTTCCCCTCCTTCCTCCCTCCTTTCCAAGGGTGGTAAGTGCCTCCTTCTAACATCACAATAAACAGTAGAGCCTGAGCCTGCCAAGCCGGCCTGCAGAAACAAGTGTCGGCTAGGCTTTGCTTTTCCGGAGGACTCACAAACAAATACACACACACACAGTCTCCCTTCTCACTATAACTGCCTGCACACCACACACAAACACACAAACACACAAACACACACACACCTCCAAAAAGAACAACTTTTGTTGGGCCCTGGCGTTGCTACGGTTACAGGGTCGAGTCCTCGCAGAATTTCATGGAAGCACAGTGAGGTTCTTTAACGGTCACATGGGCACAAAACCCCCCTGGAGAAACAGGGGGTTTAGAGTTTAGGCAGACGTGGTGAAATCTCCCAGCATAGATAATAGCAGCATTTTTGCTTTATACACAATTGGAGTGATTAATCAATTATCACCTTATTAGTCAAATCAATGACTACTTTCAGCAGTCAGGGGCAGATCTAGAGAATTTTGGGTGGAGTGGCCAGGCAGGGGCACAGACTCAGAAGGGGGCGAGTTGAAAAGGTAAAAAATAAATTAAACAAATCATACATTATTAAAAATCCAATTGTTAATTCTGTGTAAAAATGAGACACAGTGCTTTGTTTGCGGCAAACGTTGGCTGAGCTCCTTATTTACTTCAGTGACATCGCTATGCTACGTGCATGATATAAACTTTTACCAAATTTAATTTGAAATTGTTTCATCAATATCAGTTATACCACCAGAAAAATGTGGTATTCAGGTCAACAATGGCCAGTGCCACCCCGGCATATCGTTGCTTGTTTTCTTAGCCAGGACACCCCTGCAAACATCAGGGGGAATATTCCCTGGTTAAATTAAATTAAATAAATGAAGCTTTTAGGCACTTTTATGCCTAAGACTGAATGCAGGACTTGTACCGTCGCTGAAGTATTTTTATAGTGTGTGTGGCGTCACGGTTAAAGATAAAGAAATAAACCCAACAAATACAAACAGAGAGATAGGCAAGATAAAAAGAGTCACATATGAGCAGCTTACATTATACAGCTCTGTAGCCCTGTCTAAGTCTCAGCGGCGGAGGGGAGAGAGACAGTAAAGGAGAGCGACCTTGGACCGTGTGAGGAGACGCTGTTGAGCTCCACATCAATATTTTAACAGGAGAGTTGACACATCAAAAAGAGAGAGAGAGAGAGAAAAGAAGAAGAAGAGTGCCCAACGATTCCAGAGTCATCTAAAATTCATGCATGCATCATCGCTGCCATGAATATTCATATGGAGATGAATATTGAAGTGCAACTCCTATGGAGAGGTTCATCTTTACACTTATCAATAATTCGCAGGCCAGGTGAGTCTCATCGGCCGCTAAATAAATTATATCTGCACACACATGCAAAAAAAAAAAAAGTTTGGAAGAAGAGACACAGAGAGAAAGAGTGAAAAACAACACAAAGTAACATGTTTGCATGTTGCTTTGCAGCAGTGCATTCTGGGTAAGGAAAGACTGGGTTCGATCCTGTTCCAGTGTGTGAGAGCCATGGCTGTCGGGTGTTGGTCTGTCAGTCCGCTGTATAACACCTGACCAAGTGCTGCAGGAACTGAGATCTGAGAAGTTTTGTCAGACATTCACGGCCCCCAGAAGACAAATCACCATGGAGCTAATGATAGCATGTTAGCTTATGGAGCTAATGGTAGCATGTTAGCTTATGGAGCTAATGGTAGCATGTTAGCTTTAAGAGCCGAGCCTCACAACACCCTCACCTCATTCTAGCCTTGTGGTCACACAAGATAAATGTTACCATAGCTGATGGTTTTCACCTGTTGTGTAGTGTTTTTTTTAGAAAGTGAATCAGAGCAGATCTGAGTATTTTTAAGGAGATGAATTGTTTGGTAAACCTTTAATTTATAGGCAGTTAACTAATGTCAAGAAGCTACTTGGAAAAATGGAAGTGATGAGTATTCGTTGTTTATGAATGACCAGAAATGACTGAAATTAAAGCAGAACAAAGAAGGTTTAGTCAGTGAAAAGTCTGTATTATTGAATTAACTGACAGGTGATTAATGGTTTCTATCTTACTATAGATAGTTACCTTGTTATTACTTGCCATCTTGTACTTTATCATACATAAATTACCTGTATATTTCAAAGTATGAGTGCACACTACACTTTATAGGCAGTGGAAAGGTAACTACAGTGATATTTTACAGTACTTCCCTTGTCATTATGCAATATTTGAAAAATATGTACAAATTTTATAGAAATGAGTCGCTGATAGTATTTACAGCGATAACACGTATTAATTATTTCAATATGTTGCAAGTATCCGTATCATTCACACAGTGCTAAGTATAACCAATATACAAATACCAATGAAATTTCCAACACTTGCCACCATTTCCTGTTGGTAAACAATGAACGGTGTTGGCTACCACCAATCCTCGGCTTGTTTAAAGGTGGAGAGGTTACTGATACTGGATACAGAAAGTACTTGGCTTTATCAATGGAACGCTGGCTTTGCATTTATATTGTGTGACAACATGCTGCCCGTCATGTAGTCGGCTAATTAAGTTAATAGTTGTATTATGATTTTACTGAGATTTAACAGCCAATGACGAAGGCTCTGCAGCCATTTTGTCCCCAGTCTGTTGACACCTGACACCGTACTCGTGTCCCCCCACCTCAGCTACTTGTAATTATGGTCTGAACAATGTGTTGTGACAGAAGAACTGCTGAGGCTGTAAAGTCATACATTTAACCAAGCCTGACGACACAGAGGATAAACCCTTCTTTTCTCTGGTGCCACTCTGAGTACAAACCTTACACTGTTTGCCCCACTAGTGGTAGAGAATACCAAAGTCACCTTTCCACTGCTCCAACAGTTTTGACTACTTGCATTGCAAACACTTGTTGTAGACTACACATTAAATCTCTACTCCGAGTACATAAAGTACACAAGCCCAATGTTTTTGCTGCACTACCAGTATCAGTGGAAGTTACAGTACATGTTTTTGGAGGCTGTACATACATAGAGTTATATTTTTAGGCAGACCTCGATTAGAGTGAAGCAACTGTGGCAGAACAACAACTTGTTTCAGACTGTTTTCGATTTTTCTGTGTGTGTGTGAAGGACAAAAGCGGATGACGCAGATTTCTAATCATAACACATGCTGTTCTTTTGTCTGACTCATTTGGCTGCAGTGAAGTCATTACATGAACACACACACAAAACTCTCAGGCACTAGTGCTGTGTCATACACACAAAACACAAATGGTCACACACACAAACACACACACACACTCCTCTATGATATGGTTATGAGGGAGGCTATGCCTTGTAATCCCATTCTCCTTGGTGAGGATGAAGATGGTGTGTGTCTGTGTGTGCGTGCGCGCGCATGTGGAGGGGGGTGATGAGAGGAGGAACTGGGGAGACAGACAAACTGATGAAAGAAGGAAAGATGGGAGGACATCACTTGCTGTGGCTACTGCTGTTTCTACATATTTAGACAGCTTGATCTTCTGACAGCCCTGAGAGCTCCTCCAGGGCTGATGCAGAAGTGGCTGATGGGAGATCTGGGACACCAGAGTAAAGCTGAGATCATCCAGCCCTGGATCAGCTTGTTCATCTGTGTCATAGACCTCCATTGTTGTTCGCCTAGCAACCTCAACAACTGCTCCGCTTTCTGTGGGTGTGCAAAGAATCTAGGGATAGACTGAGCTGTGAAGGGTTAATCAGTTAGAGCTTTCATTGCCCGGCGAAATGAGGACGCATATCTCAGCCGCATTTGAAGGAACCTTCGTCATGGGACAGCTTTGTTGCGACGCTATGATGTAATCTGTCTTCAAATTCAACCGTGCAGAGTGGGGGCAATCAAGGCCCTTTGAAACTGGTGTAACCACCAACAGATCCACTGTTTACACATATTAAATGGCTGAATCCAGATTTCTCCTACATCTGCAGACTTTCTGTGTAAATCGAAATCAACATCAAGACTGCAAGAAGCCTCGAGCAGAGCGTGCGCATGGCTCCAGAGAGCGTGTTCCCGGTGCAGACTTCACCAAACTTTGTTCAGAAGTATATTCATAATAATTCATACTATAAAAGATGTAACAACGTTGGGAAAAATATTCCAAGACAAATAGCACTGCTAAGATCACAGCAGCTGCCGTACAGTATTCATGGCAACAAGTCTTCAGTGTGTTTTATTCCCTCACAGTTCACCCCCTCCCAGACTGTGAGGGATGATGGTGAAAGCTTCAGACCCAAGGGCTCAGTTTGTGAGTTTGGAAGGTGGAACTCTGGATTCACCTAGTCTTCTAAAACGGGGCGGGGCATCAGCCACACTGGAGGCAACGCTGACAGTCCAGGCACAGGCAGCAGAAGGTGTCTTACCTTGAAGAGCTGATGTCTCTGCTCCTCTGACATCAGCAGCTGGTGGCTGTCTGTTACCATGGCGTCCATGTCCATGAGCCAATGCCAAAGCTCCTGGTACTCGACCTCAAACTCCTGCAGACTGAAGACACAGAGAGAGTTGAAGTGAATTAAATGTAATGACATTTTCCTTTTTTGGTTATTCACATGGTGTTTCCTAGATGTCATACACTGCTGTTGTTTCTTGTATTAATATAACATCGTTGTGTCCTGTGGCAGTGGGAAATGTATGCATCCTGTTATGCTGATAGAGCATGCTGCTAAATATGCAAAGTGAAATGAGAGAGAGACGCTGACAGATAATAGCAGACTCAGGAAAAGAGAGGGAAAGTAGAAAACGGACTACAATTTGAACTGAAGCTAAGCATCTTGTATCTCGACTCTCTGGAGTCTCTTGTGAGGACAGAACTTCTTTTGATGCCACCTGTGCTGGTTTTTAAGATAAACCAAACCCAGTGGGTCACAGAGCACCGGTCAAAAAGGAGTGACTTTACTTTCTGTGTGGTTATTTCTAAAAATGTCAGGTGTTGATAGTAAATGACAAGAAGGAGACAAGGAAAGTCCACCTTTCCAGATGGCTGCAGGTCAGGGAGACAGCAGAAACACTAAATCAGTCACAACTATCCACAGAAAGGTTTGGTATGTTGGCTACTTTTAGACCTGTACTTCAGTCCAAATAATGGTTTCCTTTAGTTTGCTCTTTGCACTGAAGTCTAATGCATCAACAGTGCTGGTGTCATCTTGCAAACAGTTCATACCAGTGAGTGGCAGAAAATCACGGTGCACGTCAGGGCTACAACAACTAAGTGATAAAAATCAATTAGCAACCATCTGGCAATGAGGGTTGGGACTAGTCACGTAGCTGTGTGAGGCAGCTGGGTCACTGAGGCAAATCAAAAAGCTTCAAAATGGCAGAAGCGGTGGACAGAGTCAGAGTAAACTGTCAAGTGCCAAATACTGGAAACATATCCAGGGTGCACAGTCTCCACCAGACGCAGCTGCGGTGCGTCCCGTCTGCGACGGTTTGATCCATCCTCTGCGCAGCTGAGTCCGTCTGCGGAGCGTCTACACAACAACTTGTTGTGGTGCTGATTTTTCATGCAGGACATTGTTCTTCATTTGTGAGCTTCTATAGTACATGGGCTTTGTGGTTAACTGGTTTCTGTTTTGGCTGTAAATTGTGTTTATTGTTCTTACTTCATACGTTGTTGTCTGTAGAATACAGACAAAGCCTACAGTTAATGGTTCAACTTTATTTAACAGTTACAGCTACGTTGTTATGAAACATGGATCGAAGAGCTGTGGCTATGTAGTTAACAATACATTCATCCTCATAGGCTAATCATTTCATAGCCTATGATTCACTTAGATATCTTCAGCACCATCTGATCGGTGGGTCGAACTTTGTCAGAAACATCCCAGATGCAGCATCCGTCAAAAATAGACTTGATGCATATCTTTAATGAAGCGGACCGGAGAGCCGCATGTGGGAGCATCAGAGACACAATGTAGTAAGACCGAGTGGACTCACAACCACTGACCAGACCGGCAGCGATCAGCTCCGACCACCGTGTTGCAGACAGAATGCAGCGCCACCACATCCGGTAGAGATTAGGGGTGAGAGTAAATGTGCTGAGGGCTTTACTTTTAAATGTCAGAAGTAACCCGGTTACAATTTGTTTTCTCCAATAAGCTGATTTGTCATGTAGAGAAGAAACCTTGTTTTTCATAGTCAGATTAGAAAAACCTGATTTTCCAAGGTACCTTTCTGTGCCACGTATACACAGCACCAGGTTTCTAACTGCCTTTTTCTGTGTGTGCAATACAAAAGACTGCAGACGGCAGCGGAAGACGGATCATTACCTGGAGCGACACCTCATATTTTACATAAGTCAAAGTCCAACTAACAGCTGAAACTAGGACAGACTGTAGTGGCCTGTGGAAGTCTAAATAAGTCGGTTTAGTGGTAAATTCAGACTGAAAAGGAGCTTTGTTTGTCCGTCTGCCCACCTTCTTCTCACCGAGCTGTCCCTCTGCTCAGACATAGACACTGCAAAGACAAAACAACTAAACAAAAACTAGGAGGCAGCATTTTCTATCACTGACCAGTTCAACTGTGCCACCTGTGCTTCCAAAGTAAGCGTGCAGAAACTTCCCAGTACCCAGGTGACCACGGTGCACGTTAACGTGCTCTGTGATGATCTGTGTACACTGGTTAGCATGTAAACACAGTGAATGCCACTGCTCTCCCTCCCACACTCTCTCATCTCGTCCTCGCCGTCTTTTCTCGTCCTGTCTGTTGTTTCCTCCTCCGTCTGTCTCCTCCCAGCCCTTCCTCCAACTCTTACTGCCTCCCTCCTTTTGCTCCCCCTCACTCCTCCCACTCCTCACCCCTTCCTCCAATGTCCTTTCACCTCCTCTTTCTCAACACAGGATCACATTGAATATTTATGCTGCTGGTGCAGGGGCCGATCGCTGAGACACACACATTAGCGTCAGCCGTTTTGTTAAGGTGTGTGTGTGTTTATTATTTATATATTCGGTGGTTTGCAGTCTCGGCGGGGATTGCCAACATGTTTCTCGACATTAGCGGAGAAATTGTTTGGAATTCTCTGGTCGCCTCCGCCGACAGTTTGACAGCTCTGTCAGGCCCACAGACACACACAGTAACACAGAGGAACGATGACTCGAACACACCGGAACAACACACAGTTACACACACACAGCTGATAATCACATGGACACAGTTTCCAGAAAGCCACACGCACACACACACAGAATACACAAAACAAGCTAATACACACAACAACTCGCCATCAAAGCAGATGGAGTAGACTATGAATGAAATTACAGGAGCAAGAAAAGAGAAAATGACAACAACAACAAAAAAGTGCATCCAGCTCTCGTTTTATTCTGATTCATCATGAAGCCACAAAATCCAAACTGGACTATGAGTCGCTTTGAAGTGGCCACTTCTCTAGCTTCTATACCTGTTAATGTAATGCCCATAATTCCCTAGTCCTTCACCCAAACCCGCTAAAAAAGCCTCGACCCTCAAAGAGCTTTGGAAGATGTAAGAACCAGATAGAAAAATCCAACTTTCAAAAACGTGTCCACACTGGAAAGAATGCATTCTCTTTCTAAAAATGTCCACAGCTTCTAAAAAGTTCCACTTGTCCTAAAATGTCCCCACTTTCTAAAACTGTCCTCACTTCTCTAAAACTTCCTCTGGTTAAAAAAATCCTCCACTCTACAAAACTGTCTCCTTGTTTCTACAACCAAATGTATTTTTCTCCTTTCCTGCCTCTGTCGTCCTCATCCTTCTCATCTCTTCATCTTCAGCTACATGAGATCTTCCTCAGTGCCATCTGCTTCCTATTTCTGCTTCTTCGTCCCACCTCATCCCTCTTCTCACACCCCACCCTAGCCTCTGCTGCAAGTGATTCTCAAAACCGAGGGGATGAAAGCGCAGAAAGCGACTGCTGCTTCCTTCCCCTGAGGCGGTGTTCCTCATTATGTGGTGAGCAGAACGCCCCTTTACTGACTCAGAGAGATGAAGCAGATACAACACTCATACAGATTGTTTTCTCTTGTCGTCCGTCGTTCCTCCGCTCCCCACCTCCCCTCCTCTCATGATTCCATTATACTTACACTAATGCTAACTAAACACTTTGTAACACAGGATCTCTCAGGGGGTGGAAGACGAGAAAACAGACAAATCTGAGAGGAAGGAGCGATGTGGCGGCACCGCAGGGCTGCGTTCAACACCGGGATGGTTACAGTGTTTGAAGTGTCAGGTTCACTTTCTGTCATGCGGCACTGACAACGCACGTGGGAGTGTTAGAGTGAGCCATTCTGACATTTAACCACTTGAGGAAATTTGAGTTATAAGGAATTTGTTATTCATTTCTGACTCGTCATAATTCTAGTCAATACTGAATATAAAGAAACGTAGCAGGTATCATGTGTACAAGTCTAAATAATAGGAAAACATTTCAGTTTGAAAGGTTTAGCATAAGCTCTCCTGGGCAAAGCATGTGACTGCCAAATGTTCCCAGTGAGGAGCAGCCCACTGGTTTACTGGTTATGAGGCTGCTCTGGGCTGTGTCCATCCCTGAACATATTAATAAAGATGAAGACCTGTTAAGAGAAAATATTCTTAGAATAAATGCTTGATATGATTTTTCCACAAAAAGTTTAATTACTTAGTTAAATGTTCTAACAAAACTAATATTAGAATCTAGGACTATGCTAATTTTGCCCATTTCAAAGGTTTAACTGATGTACACAGAATCCGCTGTAAATTCCATTCTGGTGAATATGCACAACACTGACTTCTCTAATGTGTCTGCCAACAGCAGGGATGGAGTTTATCGCAGCAGATCCACCAGCTGCTGCTGTTTGATTATCAGCTGAGAGAAACACATCCTGCACTTTAATTAAGCAGGTCTTCTTAACCTTGCTGCTCCATAACAAGCAGCAAGTCGGCACAACCGCACAAAGTTCAGCCTGTTGCCCCAGCAACCACACCCAGCGATGGAATGATGGAGCAAAGGGAGGAAGTAAAACCACTGAGGTGGGTGGTAACAGTCTCTTCATGGCTGTTAAGCCTGATCTTACCTTTCCCAAGACTGGTCTTTGCTACACCTCCACTGTGTTGTTTTGTTCAAATGTTTTGGAAAATAAAGCTGACCAGTCAATAAAGTTTGCCAATAATCAGCTGGCAAGATTGTTAGCTTAGCATGATTGTGCTAAGGTGACAAAAGGTTCACACACTACATTTAAAAATGTATTTTACCACCAACTCACCCTCCGTTACTGTAAACCACGGCTCTTATGTTTTATTTACACTGCACAGCTGATACGCCGCCTCCATTTTATTAGGAAGCTACGGTAGGTCAGAGGTCACCCAGGTTGACTTTTACTTCCTTTCCATTATCAATGCTAATAATGAGACAGATTCCAATTAGATGTTACTGTTTTAGATGGTCGCTCTAGTTGCTCTTTGTGCTTTCCTGTGTGTGTCCATTTTCTGACTGTGAAACACCTAGTACCTCTGTTTTTGAAAGGTACTTTTTTATTATTATTATTTATTATTACTAGTATTTCTTCTACTTCAAGCTCACTTTTTTAATGGGCAGGCATTAGAACTGACATCTTGGAACAAAGTGTAAACACTGTGTAAACATTGTCTTTCCAGCCAGGCTTAAATGGATTTGCCACTTTCTGCTTCTGTCTCTCTCTTTTCATCGCTTCCTAATTCTTGTATTTCTGTTTCCATCACTGCTGCAACAGTGACAGCAGTTGCATCCTCCGCCTCTTACTCATCTCCATCCTCCATACAGAAGAAAGAAGAAAGGGAGGAAGATGAAGAGAAAGGGAGAAGCAAGGTGGACAATGGAGGAAGAAACAAGAGAAGAGTCAAGGTGGAAAAAAGAATATAAAGGAAGAACAGGAGACAAAGGTTAGAAAAAAATGGCAGAGACCAAAACATAAGAAGTGGTTATAAGGATGAACAAAATGAAAAAGAAAAGGAGAGAGGAAGAGGACTACAGAACAGAGACAAATCAAAAAGTAGTTGCAGTGGGATAAAGACTGAAAGGGAAGGAGAGAGGGTGAAAGTGGAACAAAGAGGAGCAGAACGAAAGGAAGGACAAAGGCAAAAGGAAAGAGGAGATGAGGGAAGAGGGAGAGAAAAAGAAGAGGTGAAGGAAAAGGAACAAATGGAGGGTGGTACAGATTGTCAGGTTTAGGAGAGAAGCAGTGGAGGAGTATGGACAGGAGAGGGGGATGAAGTGATCGAGTGAAAGGTTGAATGAGTCATATTGGCAGCAGTCACCTTTCAGTCAGACACTGTTGGATTTATGAGCTGATTCCCTGACACTGATGGATTCATCCTCCAGAGACAAAACCTGCCAGTGAACGGCAGCACGGCGCCCCCTGCTGACGTCCACTCATTCACCGCCCATCCTAACGGATTCATCCGACGTCTGCACAGAGCCCCCTGCTGACATCCGCTGACACTGTTCAGCCATTAAGTCACTTAACACTTATTTATTAATCCATTCACTCATCAACGCCCTCATCCGAATCGCTCAACAGTTAAAAGATAAACTCATTCTTTTGCTGACTTATATTCATATTCATTCATGTATTCATTCACCGTATGTATTCCTTCGTTGACTTATATTCTTTGTACCCCACTGATTTGCTTTGTTTATACATTTATTCATTCACTCCCTCATTCCTTCACTGATTCATTTATGCATAACATTGGTCTCTTTGCAGTTACAGAAGTAAATGAATGAACAAAATCTGAATTCTATGCTTATGAAAGGTGAATGAACCAGTCGTTCAAACAAATGATTTTATTTGTTTACATCATGTTTTTGATCAAAACGTTCTTATACCTCTAAACTAATGAATAAGTTAATCAGTCAGGATTATTTTTAACATTAAAAAGTGAAAATGATATCAAAATAATATCAAGAACTTTCCATCCATGTGGAGATTTTCTTCTTTAAAATAAAAAATTCTAAATCCCAACTTATTTGCTTCTTATTTAAATAAACGATGAATATATAATTTATAATAGTTCAACAAGCAGGTGGTCATTTATTGGACGTTTTATCTACTTAAAAAACCAAAATATTTTTAAAAAATGTTGCATCTAAATTTCATTTGTTCATCTGAAACTGAAACATTTTGTGTGAGATCAGTAAATAATTCAGTCTGACCTTCATTTTCTTCACAACTGAACCAAAACCAGAAATCTCACAGCAGCTGAAGAAAAACATGCAACAGCCAATTAATACGAAACTCATCACACACACCACTGCACCGGACACACAAACACACACTAATGTATGAATAGCCAATTAGTGTCCAACACATCCAGCATAAATAACTGAAACACACTGCAGCCACAGAGGACGGAGCAACACAAACAGAAACGAGTGCTCATTTAGATTTGCGTGTTCTCTCTCTCTGTACATAAACAAGTTGTTTTTGTTTTATTTAAATCCCAAAGAAGAAGCCCACTGCTGCTAAAACTGCACTGTAAACACTTGAACTGAGGACACATCCTTCATGTAAGTGACTGACGACAACGCACAACGCAACACAGTCTGCAGAACGTAACACACGCTCACAGTGACCAGTTACAGCTCCATTTTTCATTTGCATACACACAACTCGGTGTCTGTGTGTGCATGTGTGTGCGCCCTCCCTGTGAGTGATAACCACAGAGGAAGGGTCCTCAAAGCCGGGGATGAAACGCTGACAGGCAGCGTGACCAAAGCCGCCGCTCGCCGAGCTGAGCCTGGCCACACCAGATTACTGCTGTTAACACTCACACACTCGGTGTGATTACATTAACCTCTTGTGTGTGTCTTTCTGCTGTTTACCATTGTCATGTGTTGCCGTCTTGCTGTCTTGTTTTGTCTTCTAGTAGCTTGGTCTCGTTTTATTTGACATTACATTCTATAGATTCCTTCTTGCGTACATTTGACTAAAGCCACCGTTCCTCCATGTAGCAAAGATTTAAACTGAGAGCCAAAGGGAAATGTGAAAACCCAGTTTATAATAACACAAATTACTCAAAAAACAGCCCTACAGCATCATCTTGCTCAACAACATGTCAAACTGTTTGCTCCATTTGTCACGACAGGGATGGTGTATTACCTCTGAAATGATGTGGAGTCATTGTTTATTTACTACTTCTGTTGTCAGTGGCCTTTAATGGACACCATTTCTCAAAAGCTCAGCACCATCACAGATTAAATGTCACCATCTTGACAGACTGAGGCAGGTTGAGACAGCAGAGGCTAAAGCGAAAATGGCAAAAAGTAGGGTGGAAATAAACCGATTCACATTAGAATCGCGATTAACAACTGTAAATCAATTAAAAATGCTAAAAATCCATTTCTGTCACAATGTGGATGGAATGTAAGAAGTGGAACTCAACCGCGAAGCCAGTGTAGCGTACGGACAGCGGACGACGTTGTAACCTCAGTTCATCTTAAGACAAGGAATTCATCTGCATGTATTAACTTGTTATTGAGCTCTGAAAGACGAGCGCAGCGAACTGTGTGGACACTTCGTAGGGCATCACCAACAGACTGACGTTAGTGTAGCGGAGAAAAAGTACTACGAGTAAAAGTACTGATGCAGACTGGCACATTTGTATTATTGGATTATACTTATTGATGCGTTACCATGTTCATTGCCTTTGATGCTGCAGCTGGTAAAGGTGGAGCCACTTTTAACTATTATACTTACAGTTTCAAGTACTTTACAAGCTGCTACCCAGCAGGACAGAAATCAGCTGTAGGACACACAGTAAACTAGAGTAACAGCCAAAATATAAAGCCTTCGTTCTTTTTACTGAATCAAAAAGCTTTTGAATCTAATATTTCTGAACTGAATCATGACTCTAGCAAACATTCCCACCCCTAGCAAAACGATGACGTCTAAGCAGCTGATGCTGTTAGGTTCCAGCTCATTGTTAAGTGTCTGCACAGGTTTACTGCTCTGGTTCACTGTCACTTCTCTCATAGCATCGTTAATCTGCCGCAGCAGGAAGCACCCGTTTTCAAACGCCATGATGCACGACCTGCTCAGACTCAGAGACCAGCTGGCAAACAAGGTGGAGCTTTGGCAGCTAAAGAGCCAGAGATTAAGCTCAGGAGGTGGTGGAGACCAAACACAGAGCTAACAGAGGGAACACTGGACAATCGATGGTGACCAGAGACGTGACTGAATGAACAATCACCTGCTGTGATGACTGACAGGTGTAATCACTGCACATAAAATAGCTAATAATTAATAACATGTATGTACATGTTCTGAAATGGATGGCTGTTTGTCTTCTTGTTTTTTCCTGTTTTATTTGGTGCACATCAGGGGCCATTGAGCTGGAGTCAGAGTCCTGGTATTTTAACATACTTGGCAATAAAGTTTTGACTGATTCACTGATTGACGGTAAAGAGCTGTTAACTAACGGATAAAAGAGAAACAAGTACAAAGACTTTCATTACACACCTTGCCACACATTAAACATGTACTGGGGGCTTTAATTGTTGAAACGGACAAATTAACACACTAACACTGTAATACAAACACATTTTTCTGAGTAATAAGCCAAAAATTCATAAAAACAAAACGAGACAAAACAATAATGTTACAGAAGCTAGTGACCTCATGACTTTCTTATTCTGCTGCTCACCTGTTGCTCCTGGCCAGCTGACTGGAGAGCCTCCTACTGGTGGAGGGGGGGTAGTGCAGGCTGCTCAGTTTGATGGCCATCTGCTCCAGGGCGGCTCGCTGGGCTTCACACTGACTGGACATCAGCTCGGCCTGGAGGAGACAAAAGCAGGACGGACAGGCTTCAGTCGTACGTCATTCTCACTGGGCAAACACATCTATGTCATTTCACTTCATTTATACAGCCTAAGAGGTTTAGAGCATGTCAGTCCCACCAGAAGAGAACAAACATATTTCACTGGCACCAAAGAAATTTGTCAATTTACAGGTTTTTACTTTTCTAAATTGTAACAGGTTCTAACAAGCACAGTGGTATGATAGTTCCTAGTGACCCCAGGACCTTTCCTTTAGCACACACACACAAATAAACAGGATAAACTCTACTGTTTTAACTACACGCTCTGTTTTAAGGCTCTAAAAACAGCTGGATGTCATGAACAGTGCACGGGGTCAGGGCAGCCTTTAAAGTTGTGATGGTAAAATTAGATATTTATCCAATTTAAAGAAGCTCATTGCTGTTTTGGTTGGCTCAGCCACTGAGAACTCATGAGTGCATCTGTCCACACAAAATATGGAGGAGAACACAAAAGTAGTTATAGTTTATAGGTTAACTTCCAACAGATCAGCAGAATCAAAGCAACAAAGCAAACAACCTGTTTGTGACATGTAAAAAACTCTGCCAGCCGCTTGTGTCCTGAAGGTGAACCAGGTGTGTGTGTGTCTGAGTGTGTGTGTGTCTGAGTGTGATCATCTTCCTCCGAGTGTGATTAGCTGTTTATTACAGATGAATGAGAGTCAGCCGCACCATATTTTGACAGACATGTCCTTTAAAGCCCTGCGAGCAGCCGACAAACCACTAGAAACACACTCCACGCTCATCCTGTACTCTCACATCGGCTGACGCACACACACACTCACTTTAATACTCCTATGTATATGCATATAAGAGTATATACAAACACACCCATCGCACCTGCACCAATGTTCCCATAATGCCACACACCCTCACAAAATGACCATGAACTGCTCCACACACACAAAAATAAACACATTGAGCATGAATCACAACTATTTCTCACAAATTATCCTGCACACACACACAAACACTCCACAGCTAGTTGCACTCAGGATCTACACACAATCATATAGAGGCACTCAGCGCGCCGCTCAGATGTAATTGCATACAAACTATATGGAGATGAGACTTCAATTGAGCCAGTGACGGCGGAGAGAGCGTGTACAAACAGTGACACACACACACACACACACACATATGACCTCCTGCTTTTTCCTCATTCAGTAACAATCTGAATAAAGTGTCGTGGCGTCGCGTTCGCCGTCCGATCTACTTAGCGGACTCGGCAGAAGAATCTGGAAAGGTCATCCAATCTGTGGAAGGCAGAGCCGCTCAATCAGACAGCTAATAAACAAACCGGCAAAACACAATCAGCAACACTGTCTGCATCTCTGTGTGTGTGTTAAAGTGTGCGTGAGGTCGTGTATGTTTTGTTTGTGCATGTGTGTGCTGCTATTACAGAAATGAAACTAACTGGAAGCTCTCAGAGAAAATGTTTCTCACTTTGTCTAAATGTCTCCCCACTTTCATTCATTACTTCTCTCTGAGTCTCTCTCGGATGCGTTTGCAGGCTGCTTGCTGCCTGGTTAGTCGGTCAGTGATTCAGTAAATCAGTCAAGTTGTTCATTAGTTGTTAGATTGTTCTTTTTGTTGCTAATGTGTTACTTCATGCAGCTTATACCTCTGAATCTGGGCCCAGAACTCCACGTGAAAATCCACTAATTTATGAGTAAGAATGATCTGAACAGGACGCATTAATCAAGCAACTAAGTCAGACTCACACAGCCAGGTCGGGGTGACCAGATGATTAATCATGGATGTTCAAAGTGGGATAGCCAATCAGATAAACGGATATGACCTTCACTGTTTAACAAAATCTCAGTGACCCTACTCTCCAAAGGTTTCTAAGCCTGTTTCAGACACGGGATACGTAACATCGCTGCTTCTTCAGTCTGTGAAAATGACAGCTTCCTGCCACTCAGACACAGAGTTGGGCATCGTTTGGGCTTTTTCTGATATGTGTGCTAAAATGAAACTTTTAAAAGTGCCAGTGCCTAAACAGTTCCAGAACCGATAGCATAAAACCAGGCCACAAATTTCATAATTAATTTGAAGGCTAAGGTCATTTGGCTTTCCATTTTGTATGTTTTCAGAGGGCACAAAGGTCATGTGACTGGGCACCAAGGGCACCAAGGGCAAGGCATATGACAAGCTTGTGTATACAGCTGGAGCAGTAAAGTTACAAAGTGCAGATGCTTATAGGACGGTTAGGATGCAGAGACAGCACAGTAACTGTTCACCTTTATTATAACTTGGATAGTAAATGGTTGTCAGTATTAGTGCTTATTTAGCATGTGCAGTATTTCAAATAGCAGAGAAAACACGGTACAGTTCAACACTACATGTAACGTTTTGCAGCTTATAGCCAGAGCCACGTGTTACACCCTTCGATCTGCTTAACCAATGAAACTAAAGGAAGCCGCATCGTAGCACCGCAGGCCTGACTGATGTAAGACACAGAAGTTCACCAACAAACAGCTCATAAATGTTGGTGTTAAAGAGTCAACAACATTAAATTCTATGGCACATTCTGCCGACTGGCGTGAACCACAGAGGCTTTATGAGGAGCGCTACCAGGTGAACAGCCTGATTGAGCACCGTTCTCCTTAATACACCCATAAACACACTTACATGAGTAACTGAACATGACCGATCACTTACAGAGATCGATCCTCAGACCTGATGGGTCTGACATATATACAGGGCGTCACAGCCAGATATCAGGGCAACGACGGCCATGGCTGCTTGGACATTGGGAGATTTGTACCCTGCAAATAACGAAGGTTGACAAGGCTGATTCAGTCTGGTAGATACCGATTGTATAGGAATCGGTGCCACATTGGCACCAGGTTTTGGTAACCATGCCTACTCAGGCACGGGTCAATTTTAACTTAATGTTCCTCAAGGGATCCCTCGCTCGCCAGCCATACGCACGAGATTGGACCTAAGTTTTCTGTCTACAACACGGTGAATGAGTCATTTTTTACTGAGCTGACCAACTCGAAAAAACGCATGAGAGACGCAAGCTGTTTGCAGTAAAGGCCATAAACCCTGTGCCCTCCATGTTAATGGGTGGGACATGAGCCAGACTAGAAACTGTCAGTGCAAATCAGATAAATAGTTCCCAGATGTCACCTCTGTCATTTCTGGTAGACATTATCACACTGATGTGTGAACAAGTGGTCATTTTCTGGCAAGTGTGTTATTGGATTATATACAAAGAGGTGTGTTTTGGTTGAATTGACAGGTGTGATTGGCTGGCTGATGCGGTCACTCAACATTTGGTCACTACTGCGCAGAATCTTACTGCAAAAAAAGATGGCAGCTGCCGTATTCACAACGTTTTGACTTAATTTATGCAGCTAAAACTACTCAACTGCAAATGATGCACATACTGAATTTCCATGTTCAGTGCTTTGCTTTTTATTAAAAGTTTCACTGTGTAACATTCTCTAAGAAAAACTGCTGCAGACAAAATCGTTGAAACTGTAAATGCAAATTTGTCAGTGTCGGTGAGTCAGTGAGGTCAGTTAGTTGGTTAGTCACAGACTCAGTTCTGTCTTTATTCACTTGTTTTGTAGTTTGCAGAACGCAAGTGAACACAGACACAGTCCGGCTGAATTTGGCTTTTCATATAACAGCTGACTAAAACCGAAATGAAACACACCCACAGATACACACAGTGAAGCAATTTCTCCTGGACGCCTCGAGGACAGAGAACTGGAACGCTGTCTTTTGAAAACACACACACACACACACACACACACACACACACAGAGAGAGATGAGTTGGGCTGCTTCCCAGTCTGAAGGATCTTCAAGGATTTCTGTCAGAAATTATTTCTCTTCAAACTAGACTCATGGCTCCATCTGTTAATAATAATAATAATGTGCATGTGTGTGTGTGTGTGTGTGTGTTCTTGTACTTGCTAGTGAGGACCAAAAAAGTATTATTTGCTACAAAGTGAGGACATTCTGGCTGGTGAAACAATTTTTCCAGGGTTAAGACTTGGTTTTAGGATTCAGGTTAGAATTAGGTTTAGCGTTGGACTTAGGGTTAGGGCTAGGCATTTAGTTGCAATGGTTGAGGTGTGTGTGTGTGTGTGTGTGTGTGTGTGTGTGTGTGTGTATGTGTGTGTGTGTGCCTGGCATTACCCAGACTGTGAGGAATAAAACCTGTTTATACACGGACACTGTGGGGACTTTGCCTCCCTTGGGGGGACCAGATGCTGATCACCACTGTGTAAAACACTGAATTTTGGTTGATGACAACTTGGTTTAAGGTTAAGGTGAGGTTAGATGTTAGTCTCCAGGAAATGAATGCAAGTCAATGTAATGTCTCCACAAGGAATAAAAACCAATGTGGGTGTGTTCATTGTGCCCGCCTGTGTGCTGAACTGTCACAAGGATCAAAACAAAAGTGAAAATGTGCATTTCTGAGAGTTACTGTTACAGTCGACATCTGACCCACACACACAAGGAGGTGAGCAATGTGTGTGTAGGCCGTGATGCAAGTGAAGCACAGATCTCACACACACACATCTGCAATGCAATGGAAAAAACATTTGGTAGTATGGATGTCATCAGTCTGGGCCTTTTCTTTTATCACTTTCAAATGATAACACTTTGTTACTGTTCAGCAAAGTTGGAATACGACCAGTCAGACTGCAAACAAAACTTCAGGTTAGCGAAATCAATTCTGATGAGGCGAGCTCTGTTCAGAATCGAGATCTACAATGGCGCGCTTAAACAACGAAGAAAAAGGATGAAAGACCACTTTAAAATAAGAAAATAAATCATTAGACATTTGTACCACTACTGAGTGTGAGTGTGTGTGTTCATCTGAATGGCTGAAGCCAGTGTTTCACACAAGAATCAGTGAGAATCTGCCTCGTTTGTTGAATATGTAGACCATCCCCTGACACACACACACTTTGTGTGTGTGTGTGTGTGTGTGTG